TTTATCGGTTGCAGCATTCATGGGCTATATTTGGATCATCGTTTTCCCTCATAATTGGCGGTGTCCAGTCTTTACCACGAGTACTGTCCCAAACATTCTCCGAAATAACTGATCCATTCGGGTTAAGATGATTTGCCTGGGCTGACTGGGGGAAAAGGGAACATGGGGAAGTGGATTGTAAATTCATTCCCTACAATGTGAATTTACGTCAACGGTATTATGGCTGGCAGCAGTAGGAGGGAGTCTATTTTAGACCTGGCACAGACCTCACCACTACTGCTGCATGCTGCGTGTATGGCATGCATGCATGCACGCATGTACGCCTGGTTGCCACATTCCCTATTCGTTTTAATGGCTTTGGCAAAGCATGCACCGATTATTGTGGCCCACCCGCCGCCGCCTCTTCCCTGTGCTATGCATTCCATTCCTCCCGCATCCTTTGTACCATACCGTTGCCGTGCATGGAGATACTACTCATGATTCGATGCACGGTGTCTTTAGCCAAAAAATTTGAACTTAATGGTGTTTTACAATAGCTCAAAGTGAAGTGTAAGAATCGGGGTGTGATTTATCTTCCTTTTTACCCAAAAGACGAATGGCTGAATTCGTAGGATTTGATGGTCTCCTCTAGTTCCATTCCTTCTTCTTTCTCTCCTGTTTATGTCGCGTTTTTGATGGTCTTCATGGGTGAATTATGTGTAGTAAGAACTGGATGAAGGACGGAAATGCTTTCTTTTAATTGTTCACCCACAACCGCCCGTTTCTTGAACCCGCAGAACTTAATGGCATCTAGTGGTAACAGGGCACATTTTTGGTATCTTCAAACTCCCAAATACTCCACCGGCGTCACCTTTTATTGTCATTTGTACATCTGTGGGCATTGCAGAGTGTACGCAGATCTGTGGTAGTCACTTTGTATTTGAATGAGATTTTCAGTGCTTTAAAAGTCAAACTCAGGCATTCTCAAGGTCCCCACTTTCTTGAAAAGATAGGGGGAATCTGTTAAAGCAATAAAATGTCCAAAGCCTTCAATCTCCCCCCTTTAAGTCGGAGTTAGTTTTACCCTTCTTTTCCCTTTACTAAGTCTTCAAAATCTCGAACTGATTTTCTCTTTTGTGGTCATTTAAAGCATCTTAAGTTGGGTAATGTTGTTTCGCATGTTTCATTAGCGTCGGCACACAGCAAAGCCTTTTCCAAGAGCATTATAACTCAAATTCTTCTGCTCTTTATGACATTTTTTCAATGGCAAGTGTATGCACAGGCTTTGAAGGGTGCCTCAAAATCGGTGAGAATACGGGAAAGTCGGCATTCTTTTTTTGTCGATCTCTGTTTTTTTACAAAAAATGGCTTTAAATTTATACTATGGTTTTTAAAATCAAGCTTCTCATGGAAGTAATGTCAGATCTTGCTGAATTCGTTAGAGCCAGAGCTTTGAACGCCCATGAGCTATTCTGCCCCCGGATAAAAAAACTTTAACTGATGTCTACCATATTGCAGCGTTGCCCGAATCCGCTCTATCGGTGTTTAAAGGTAATTGTACCCTCATTCGTTCTTAGGTTTTGGGCATGTTGTCTAAGACACGCGGCAGTTTTGTTGGGAAGTAGTTTTTCTGAAGGTCTAATCTGAAAAGCACTTTCAAGAGGTCCATGACTTGAGGTGTTGTATTTTCTACAGCCAGCTAATTTTCGAGCGCCAGTAAAGCATGAAATATTTTGAAATTCTTGGGCTGTCTTAAGCGATTTATTATCAATATCTTCAGGATTAATGTACACGCATCCAATTCACGGTAACCTTTTTCCTGTTTGTCTCTCCTTGTCAGGTGTGTATATACTTAACATTTCATTAATCTCTCAGTAAGAGTATTGGCAACGCAAAACGTTTAGGTATTGAAACCCGGAGCAGATTCGAGTCACGAAGTAGCTTTCCCATCGGCATAGAATGGCTGAGACACTACTAGCACAAGCCGCTAGCATGACGACCGATTTGCGAAACATTAAATTCCCAAGCGCTCAAATCTGCGGTAAGGATTATAAAGTGTTGTAATTGTTTTCGGAACCTATTTAATCAAACCGTCAACTATTTGGAAAATAAGACGCCTATCTCCCTCTACTTTGCTAGAGCCATGCTCTTAGACTCTCCGTCTGTGTATATTACGATGACTCGTATGTACACACACACGCACGTGGCAGCGATCTTTTGGTATCTGCCGCCGCCTTCCTTTCCCCGCCAATTCCCGGTTAAAGTGCAAATCGGAAGGGGCAGCGGCCACTGTTTACGTGTTTTCGTCTAGGAGGAGGGCGTACGTTGGCACTGTGTCTTCTTTTTTCTTCTATAAGAAAGTAGATTGATTTGAGGTGTCTAGTTTTCGGAGTGATTTTTCTCTCTATACCCCGCTCTTCTCATGACCTAACGTTCCTTGTCGTTGTGTTTTCTGACTCTTTGATGGAATAACACAATGTTACATTGCATAACCAGTAGCAGCTTTGGTTGCAGATTACGAGGTCTTGTAACACGCTCTCTACACGTGCTCATTACTGCCAGGAGTTGAACCTTTGTACAACCCCAAGCTACTTCGGTGCATTGTTTCCTTGTCATTGCTGGTGTTAGCTATAGTATGTCGGTATGTTGTACAATTCGTATTCATCGCTTCTGCAAATTAAAGTGATTATTTGCCACGGAATAGCTATTTTGTATACCCATTTTATTTGCTAACCAGTGTTGGAAAGTTCACAGTGGTCACTGTCAATAGCCTTTGGTCTATTGCTCTGTAGGATAGACTGGTCAACCACGGTATAATTTCTCTTGAAGTTGCGAGACGGCGACTCCGATATTTAGGGTCGGTAGAATTTCCACCATCTCATCTCTGCTATTCTTCGACGCCCGATACTCAAGCAAGCACTAGTAGACGAACCATGACTATGAGGTCTTTTTACCTTTCATCAGTAATTTGCCTTCACAGATGTCTCTTAGTTCTGGAACACCCTTCCATAGCTTCCCGTCATTCTTTAAGTGTCAGGAAGTCTACTTAGCTTATTTAATTTTTTTGTACATGCAGCCATTTCCTTCACGGTATCTGGGACGTCTTGGTGTCTTGATTTTTACCTGAAAAGTTTGCGAATGAGGTGTAAATTTTTATGAAGCTACTATAAAATCCATTGCTTCGGTCAAATAAGGCACAGTGATCGAAGTTCCACGTCGCCTTTACCGAGGCCCCGATTCTCTTGAGAATGGGTGCTGAATGTCCTTCTTTTGGCTTCCATTTATCATTCTCTTGCGTTGATTCCCACCAGTCGCTCTTCTATGTATCCTTTTGGTTTCATTGCCTCTTTGTTGCTTTTACTGCTGGTCAACCACCTACCTGGGTCCCATTTCTTTGTGTCTCGCCAAAGTGTAAACTATTGTCGCTCATTCAACGCTGATTTCACCTCCTTACACACATCATAGGGCATACCTTAATTTTGAGTCACTTGTCTGTCAATTGGGTTTTGGTTTCTTTGTAAAGTCTCCGTGATGATATTCCTCTTTCTCTACCAATCAATCCATAGCAAGAGTAAAAGCCATTACTGTAACATCCGAGCCATCCCTGAGGGCGTTACAAGACACACGAATTCAGCGGTGGAAGATATTAGGGACTGGTAGTAGAGGTTGCATTAATAGGACTCCTCATTGTCATTGTAGAGGCCGAATCGCGAGAGGCTGAAGAGACTTAAATGCTACAGTTGTTTCATCTTTCTGTTTTTCAGAAGGAAAGGGGAAACGAGAAGAAAAAGCGCGGCAAGAGGAAATGCCATCTGCTGTAGTGTGGGTGCGATTACATTGACAAACTGTGCCACGGTGGAGTGACAGACAGACAGATACACACACACGAACTTGGCCAGTAAACATAAAATCGCGAGGTCATCACATCCACACACACACGGTCATCATCACCGTCTCAAATCCGCATTCCTTTAATCACTCCCTCTTTTGCCCTCCTCTCTCTATCTCTCCTCTGATTGGGCGTTCGCAGGTACACGCACAGTCGTCTGCATCCCCAGACCCTGTCTCCCAACATGCAATGACCCCTGACTTTGTGTACAATCCCACCCTGTGGCGGTTTTTTTTGCTCCTCTGTACATAGACCTCCCCCACCCCGTCCCTCGAACACTTACTTCTACCTTTCTGGTAATTTTATACCGAGTGTGTATAAACAGTCTCGCACCAACTTGTCCTAACCAGTTTCTTGTGTCTTTCTCCTTCTGCGATGCAGTGGTTTGTGTGCGTGTGTATGCTTCCCCATCCTCATTGCCATTAGCATCATCGCCACCTGAGAGGTCTTCTTAATTTCCCCAAATGCATACTTATTTATTACCAAGATTCGATGACTACTTCTCCCTCCCCATCGTCTTTGCCTTCCTTTGTCTTCTCTTTTTCTTGCTCGTGTCTCACGCACACACACATCTACCCTGAGTCCACGTTTCTCCTCCTATGTCCTTACATTGTCGATTTGTTCCTATGCTCTGCGATCCTACCGACTACTATCTATACATCTCCACCTGCCTATCTAAGTACCCATTCATATATATATATACAAACATATATGTATATGAATTAGCTGTTTTAGGGTATATAGGTTGAAAATAAGATGCTAATAACCCGCTTCTCTGTACCTCAGTCCCTTTATCCAATCCCTCTCCTTTTTCCACCCTGTCTCGCAGGGTCCGGGGCTCTTGAGCATTACGAGGCAAGTGGTATTGCATATCTGCCGATGTGTGGGTCTAACTTAGGCTGGAAGTCAGTAAGGCTGTAGTTGATCTCTGGAACGTTGAAGTTGAACAAGATTGTAGAACGCAATGTGCTCTTGATTCGAGCATTTTGGACGACTATTGGAGGAGAAATCGAGCGCAGGGTGCATCTGCTGACCTTCAACTCGTTTCTCTTAACTCTCGCCCGTGCTGCTATCACCCTAGGTTTTGACGGATTTAACCAGCAAAACTCCAAGTTTTTGCCCTTGCATACAGGAGAAGGTGCAGCTGTTGGAGATCGCTTGGGGAAGCCTGCCATCGAGAACAGGTTCAGCAGATCATGCTAATTCTCGCCGAAGCGCATCTGTTTTCTACGAGTAGCCTCGGAGTAACAGCGGGAAGTTCTCATCACCGGGGGGCAGTCGAAGTTGTTGGCACTCAATGCTTCTAGACTACAAGCCATAGTTCGGAGCTTTCCCACGGCGTAGAATGCCGAGTTATTAGTTTTTTGATTACCGAGTCATTAACTCCGAATGATTGATTGAATCCTTGTGAAGGAATCCTTCTAGACGAAAGCCAATAATGACTCCTTATGGATGTTGAATCACAAATTGGCAGCTAAGTCTCTTGCGTGTTTGGTAAAAGATGATTTAGGGAAGGGGATTCCCTTTTACGATGCCACCGACTCTCTTTAGGGCACCTCTGAAGGCACACCGTTAAGGAATAACAGCTGGCTACTTAAGGCCTGAGGTCGTGGTCGGTCGTCTGTGTTGTCAAGATGTTTGGACAACCTGTAGAGATTGAACAACCCACCTGGTTAAATAAGCGCTTAACCAGGTATTTGCACCGTAGCTTCTGCGTTCCATGTTCACTTCTTCCTCACCAAGGAAGAAGCTTCGCTAGGAAGGGCCGCATTACGGAATTAACAGCTTTACAGTGTCACCAGCTCAATCCACTGTGAACAGTCGAACAAGTAAAAATAAAGCACCTTAAGAGAATTTTTTTCTCCTTCGGTCACCACTAAATATCCCAAAGAAAGAACTGCGTACCCTTTGACTGGCAACCTCGTCTCCTTCGTCATGAGGACAAGCAATGATGATGTACTTAATAGATAATAGGGTGACACTTTCAAGTGATGTCGCCAGTTTTTGTGTAACCAGTGATCTCATGCCTAGACCTGCGAGTTACCCACTCAGTTTGATGGTCTCATCTAGGTAACCGTCAAAGATGCGTCACTGTGTGGTTGAGGCAGCACATCCATTCAGCTGTAACTACCTTCGTCCCATCAGTAAATGTCGCCGCTATGTAGGGGAAGAACTGTGATTTCCAATAAAAAATTGATAAAACACGATCTACTATCATTGAGATTACTGCCAGATGAAAGTAGGAAATGCTCTTTTGTCAGTAGATACCACTCTACTGACAGGTAACCTAGGCGTGTCTCGCTTCCAACGCCCATTGGTCAGCATCGCGACATCGGGCTGAGTGATGATTGGTGCTTCACCCGTAGACCTGTTGGCCTTGGCTCCTCTTGATCAATTTATCCTCTCCTCTCCTCTTCATTTGATTCACAATGGAGAACTTTGTAGTAGTTCATCCCCACCCTGTTTCGATTAGTCTCCGCGATCTTGAAATGGATAGTGAGGTGTAGCCTTTCTTGTATTCTACCCTCATGGTGACTCACCAAGGCTCCTTCCTGCCTGTGGAAAAGGTTAGCTACAATCAAAGAAAACGATATATTTGGCTATTTCATATTCGTATAAATGTTTTGTCAAATTCCGCTTGGTGACTTTGGGAAATCGAAAGGGAAGCTGTTCAAGCAGAGAAGGGGCTTCGCGCTGTCCGATTCGATTCACGATGTCGCGGGTGTTTCTGAAAGTGGTATCTTGGGGAAAGAATTCCCACAGATTCTTTGAATTCTGTAAGATCACTTTATTAGCTTGCACGAAAATACTCGAATTTGTAAAATAGCCGTACACACAATCAAGACATGAATTGAAGATCCTGCCTCACCGACAGTCGTCTATGCTGGCAACTGATGGGTTAAATCGAAGGCGGTCGTGGTTCCAAGAGTCCAACCTACAGTTAAGCTTGGTTTGCATCATTTCGAATGCATAAAGAAAGATTTCAAAAACTTTTTGTGAACATCTACTATATATCTTCGCAGCTATAAAATGTGCATTGACAACAACATTCGACACCTTGAATGACATTGACGTATTATGCTTATCTATGTACATACTAGTAACGAAGCCCACCACTCCGTTACTTTGGGTGATGACCGAACTGCCACTTTGGTCTCCTTCAAGTAGAATGGAAGGTCTTGTCCAAATTGAAGAACATCGTCCAACTCATCTTGTTAGGTATACTAGTTTGTGAAGGCAGGAGAAGTCGGGATTTCCAAGGATGTACTTTGATGTCGAGTTTAGCAGTGGAATACCACCGTTGACGATTCGGTTGACTTGGGTGGCTGAAGGGAGACGCAAATCAGATGCCAGAATTATAAAAATGTCTTTTTATTTACTTCCTGTTGATCAATTACCGAGTTCAGCTGACAAATTGACAAGTTTGGTGGTCTCCTACAAGTACCCTGATGTAGCAATCACACATTGTCAGGCCTCCTGATATGCCCTTTTCATGGAGCGGGCTGAAGGCAGCGCTAATTCAGTGAGGGCTTAGAGACCACGGAAAAAGCAGTTGGTTTTTCTAGCCTGGAGTGAAATACTCAACTTGGTTGAGCAAGGACGGGACGCAACAAAAAAGAACAACACTTATTTCTATTGTACTCGATTGGAGTTGTGTAAGCACTTTGCAAAGTCATGACATTAAAATAGAGATTCCCGCGTCGCCTTTTGTCTGTTGCTAAGTCTTTTACAATGGAAAAATGAGGCCTATCAGTAGTATTTCATTGCGCTTTACGAATGACGAATTGGGATAAAATTACCCTTGCAATTGGCACGCTGTGCAACTAGGTGTTCTTCAAAAGTAGACTCACTAAATCTAACATCCCTCCTGATTACCAAATGGCAGTTTCAGCACCCGAAGTTCTCTTGAAGATGTTAGTAGGTTCTAGAGGTTAGTGACAGGGAAAAAGCAGGGACAGAACTCGATACCACCGTCAGAAAGGCCGAAACAGGAAGGAGTGAATGAACCTCTTGTCAAGGGCTAAATTTTCGTTGAATATGTACAGATGTAGAAGGTTACAGTTAAGGTCGTTTCAAATCATACTACTGATGCACTTCAAATTCAGTAGCATTCAATGTGAGTGGATGGTTTGCGTGCACGCGTCTCCGTTGGGTCGACAGAAAGTCTATCAGAGGGAGGAAGTAGTAGTAATAAGGTCAGCTGTACGTGTATATGCGTGTGCGTGTCTACAGTGGTGAATATAGAAGCTGGCTGAAAGAGCAGGACTGACTGGCGAGCTACTGACCTCGTATTTACTTCGAGAATTAGGTAGTTTATCCCACTGGATCTGGCATAAGACACAACTTCCAAGTAGGTTGGTTGGAAGGGCACTAGAAGACTCCAACGGATGTCAGCTACTAATTCAACACCCCTCAATTTCACCATATTACTTGCCAGACACATACATACACACACAGGGTACGTTGAAATCACTACAACGTGTGACATTTGTAGTAAACTTACCGCAAATATGTCAAATTATCCACTTTGTTTATCGTTGAAAGCCCACCACGTGCTAACAGCTAGGGCTCTTCAGCTCATACAGCCAACAGCTAACAAGGATGAAAAGCAGTCTTCAAGTGCTTCCATTCTTCTTCTTCTTTCGTATTCTTTTGTGGTTTGAAGCAGTTTTGAAACAATTTAATGCCGCCCGACTGTATGCTACTGATGGCAAGCCCCAGCTTTGGCAGGGTAATCATCGGTGTGTGTGTACGAGCGCTAGTCCGCATTTAAATGGGTAGGCTGAATGCCAAAAATCCATGACATTGTACATCTTCACACTTTGGTGATCTGTAAACGGAAACACATACATATAGAGAGAGAAAAAAGAGTACGTTTAGGGCAATAGCATTTGCCTTAGTTTTCTGCTCTTTCCGTGCCTGCGTTTGCCCCCTGGCCCTCGGTCCCTAGGTGAGCCTTCAACGGGGTTCCCTTCAGCCTGTTGCACCAAGCAACGTAGACTACTGTGTGTGTTTGTGTTTGTTTGTTTGATTCCATCCTGGAACACGTTCGGTTTACTACGTAAACAGGCCTTGGCATAGTGTCAACCTTGACTAAATTGAGGACCGAACATCAAACCGTGGTGACAGTAGCCTCTCCGATCTGTGGAAACAAATAAAATGATGACATGAAACCTAAGTGTAAACTGCATAGCTTTGTAGGTGCAAACTCTGACTTGTTGGAGGTTGACAATGAGAAAATGGATAATTGTTAAAGCAACACCGAATACCTCCGGTGGGTTAGTTTGGTCCAATAGTTATTTACCATCGGGAGAGGCGAATTTTCTGCCAAGCTTAGTCACTTTCACCGGCTGCTACCATAATGCAGTGACAGTAACTTCTTGTACACAAGCTTTCAACACCAAGAAATGCATAAAAAGAAAGATGATTAAAGTTTAGGGTACGTGGAAGAAAAAGTGGAGGCTAATAGTGATAGAAGCATTGGTAACATCAAATTTATTCTTTAAAATAGTCGCCACAGGCGGCTTATGACATTCTCTCGAAGGCGACCAGCCTGGCGCATTCCAACCCCATAAAAGGTTTTGTCGACAGTAGATGGAAAACAATCGAGCTCCACCTATCTCCACTTTCTTTTTTCTTTTCTTCCTTGTATGTTCTTTCTTCCTACCTATTCAGCTGTCCATTTATCTCACATTGTCATCCCATTGGGTTACCGTCCACTGTCTGTCAGTCGTGTGACTGTCTGACAGTTTTGCTAATAATAGGTGATAGCCATCCCCTTATCCTTGGAAAACTACCATCAGATGAACAGGGGAATGAGAATGATGATGAATAAGAAAGTGAGGATGATGGAGAGGTAGCATCTCTCTCTCCCACCACCTCTTCCTCTCGCCCTCCCCTACTTCTTCCCCCAGCCCAATTGAAGTGTCCAATATAACTATTCCACGAATCAGTTTTGTGACAGCTCGATCAGAGTATGAAGTCTCATCTGGACTTGTTGCGTCCTGTCGTATTCATGGAAAAGTTTAAAGCACTTCCTTTCTTCTAATTCACTGGCCAGTCCTCAATCACCTCTACAATAATAATGAAGTAGATAATGAGAATGTCACTACCTCTGAGGATGTGAAAAAAAAAATTGATTATGAAGGTAATGAAAGAGAAGGAGGAGGAGGAGGAGGAGGAGGTTCATCTACAATTGTTTGGACTTTAGCAAGTGACCAATTCACAGT